ACTGTTTGAGGACGGCTCAAGGAGGCTCATCACTCCAACGTGGACGAAAGCAGTGGCTCAACGACGTGACAGCGTTGAACCACGTCTTCGGGCTCGCTTTCGCTTGCTAAGTCCGGCGCGCACTGCACGGCGTGGCTTTGATTCGGGCCAGTACAACAGTGATTAGTGCGGGCCATTCAGAGGGGATGATTGACAGACCAAATGAAGCCAAATGCAATGCGCATTGCATACGCGGGTACACTTTCAGAGTGCTTCCCTTCGCTCGGTGCTACTACCAGGCATAGGCTTCTGCCCACTCACACCTGTGTTTGCTGTTTTTCCTCCCTGCTCCTGGCGCGTCGTGTTGGTTCGGTGGTACTGGTACAGGCCTTGTATGGGCCTCCCGGCGCCAGAGCGAAGATCGAGCTTAGGGTCGATTCACGCGCAGGCCGAGGGGGGCCCCGCAAACGCCACGCGACGGCGAGACAACGGCGAATCTTCCCCAACAACCCCAGGTGCTTTTCTTCTGTCTCTTTTTTCGCGTCTCTTTTTTTTTTTGGGGGGGGGGGGGGGGGGGGGGCTCGTTGGCGGGGGCCAAGCCTCGGACATCGTGTGGTCTGTGAACAGTCGTATGACTTTGGCCGTTTCGTGGCAACTTTGCAACCCATCGACAGAGGCACGACGGCGCTGGTCTGCGAACAATGGTGGTGACTCGAGCGGCAGTTGGCCTGTCGGTACGTGGGAGGCGCCGATTGCAAGGGTAGTAACGTAGCAGGGTGGGCTGGCATGGGCGCAAAGTATCGCGAGCCGAGCCTGCACTCGCAGCACCGATCCGTGAATCATCAGTCACGCGCGACAGCTAGACTTTGTTCAAAGGTCTAGGTAGTGTAGCTCCTCGTAGCTAGGTAGTACGGTACAGCACTTGATCTGGCCTGGCTGGGCTGGGCTGGGCTGCTGGCTGGGTCAGACATTTGGAGCTAGGGGGGGCCGAGCTGAGCAACTGGCTGGAACCGGGCCAGGCGACGGGCACGGCCCAGAGCGTGGCCACCAGCAACCATGCGAGCACAGCACAGCAGCGTGTAACAACGATGATGGTCCAATACGGCGGTACTGATTTCGTCTGATGTGAGTGGTGGTGGTGGTCCGGTTTCGTGAGGCATTCCAAATGGGCGTGGCGTAGGGGTGCCGCATGGGGGCATGGGGATACCTCGGAGTGGTCAAGACGAGAGGATCGATGGAGATGGAGGGATGCCATGGGGTAAACTCGCGTCGGTCATGCGTTTCGAGCCTCTGGGATGGTGGAGCTGGAGAAGGATGGCATGTTGGGTTGGAAGCTTGTGGAGGGAGGACGGAGTACGTTAGCTCGTGGGAAGCAGATGGTCAGATGTGAGGGGCCCCTCTCGCCTTCGCTGCTCCCCTCCCCCACCCCAGTCCAAGGAAGCAACACCCCAGTCGGCCGGTCCTGGTCGGCCCAGCCCACGGTCGTACCCAAACAGATTGGGGCCCCTCCTTTCGGCCCGTTTACACTCAGGGACTCCTGCTCACTTCCCCAGGCCACCGGGGAAGGTACCACCGCGAGGGACGAGACCGAGAAGGCGCGTCCCTGGTTCCTGCTCGCCCTCAACGACCGATATAAGGACGTTGCACCAGCGCCCTCTCGTCCATTCAGACCTCTCTATCTCACAGCCTTCTCTTCAACCTTAATCTCAACCCCTCCCCCCCTCTTTCCCCCCTCCTTCCCCGTCCCCGCCCCTCAACATCTGGGCTCTTCACTGCAGCCACCCAAACACCAGACATCGTCAACCTCATCACGCCGCTTCACCAGCAGCAAGCAGAACAAGATGTCGTCCCACGGCGAGAAGGACGGCCCGGCCGCCACTGAGCACCGCCCCTCGGTCACCCTCCACACCACCAACGATGTCGAGCGCATTGAGGCTCCTGTCACCTGGAAGGCCTACCTCATGTGTGCCTTCGCCGCCTTCGGTGGTATCTTCTTCGGTTACGACTCCGGTTACATCAACGGTGTCCTCGGCTCCCAGATCTTCATCGATAACGTCGAGCACCCCGGTGCCGAGTCTCTGACCTCCTCCAACACCTCGCTCGTCGTCTCCATCCTGTCCGCCGGTACCTTCTTCGGTGCCGTCATCGCCGGTGATGTCGCCGACTGGATCGGCCGCAAGTGGACCGTCATTCTCGGCTGCTTCATCTACATGCTCGGTGTCGTGATCCAGATGATTACTGGTCACGGTGATGCCCTCGCTACCATTGTTGCCGGTCGTCTCGTCGCTGGTCTCGGTGTCGGCTTCGAGTCTGCCATTGTCATTCTCTACATGTCCGAGATTGTAAGCCATCTCTGCTCAGTTCTCCCCGTGCTCCACTCGCTAACAGCATCTTCAGTGCCCCCGCAAGGTCCGCGGCGCCCTCGTTGCCGGCTACCAGTTCTGCATCACCATCGGTATCATGCTGGCCTCTATTGTCGTCTATGCCACTAAGGAGCGCAACGACACTGGTGCCTACCGCATTCCCATCGCCATCCAGTTCCCCTGGGCCCTGATCCTCGGTGGTGGCCTCATGCTCCTTCCCGACTCGCCCCGTTACTTCGTCAAGAAGGGCAACCTGGCCGCTGCCACCGAGTCTCTGTCCCGCGTTCGTGGCCAGCCCGCCGAGAGCGACTACATCCAGATGGAGCTCGCTGAGATCGTCGCCAACGAGGAGTACGAGCGTGCCCTCATCCCCTCCACCACCTGGTTCGGCAGCTGGGCCAACTGCTTCCGCGGCTCCGTCTTCAAGTCCAACTCCAACCTGCGCAAGACCATCCTCGGTACCTCTCTGCAGATGATGCAGCAATGGACTGGTGTCAACTTCATCTTCTACTACTCCACCCCCTTCCTCCGCTCCACTGGCGCCGTCAAGGACGAGTTCCTCATGTCGCTCGTCTTCACCCTTGTCAACGTTCTGTCCACTCCTCTGTCCTTCTGGACCGTCGAGCGCTTCGGCCGCCGCTTCATCCTCATTGTCGGCGCCTTTGGCATGCTTGTCAGCCAGTACCTCGTTGCCATCATTGGTGTCACGATCGGCTTCAACCACACCCACCCTGATCCCAACGACGCCGAGAAGAGCATCGCCGACAACATTCCCGCTGTCAACTCCCAGATCGCCTTCATTGCCATCTCCATCTTCTTCTTCGCCTCCACCTGGGGTCCCGGTGCCTGGATTCTCATCGGCGAGATCTTCCCCCTGCCTATCCGCTCGCGTGGTGTTGCTCTGTCCACTGCTTCCAACTGGCTGTGGAACACTGTCATCGCTGTCATCACCCCCTACATGGTCGGCGAGGACTACGGTAACATGAAGTCCTCCGTCTTCTTCGTCTGGGGTTCTCTCTGCACCGCTGCCTTCGTCTACTCGTACTTCTTCGTTCCCGAGACCAAGGGTCTGTCTCTTGAGCAGGTTGACCGCATGATGGAGGAGACGACTCCCCGCACTTCTTCCAAGTGGACCCCCCACGAGACCTTCGCTGGCGCCCGCTCCCACGGCGGTGTCCTTGACAAGAGCGAGGCTGTGTAAGTCGATGATCGACGAGGAGAAGTCTATACCCGAAAACCAAGAATGGGGTTGCCTGCCATGGCCCCCTTTCGAGATATATATACTTGGCTGTTGTTGCCAGAGTCGGAGAGGTGGCTCGTTGTAATTAAATGCAGTTGACGAGAGGATGTGTCCCAGGATCTAGTCTTCAAGGTTGAGACATGACAATCACCTTCCAAACTACTTTCGCCCCTGCCGCATATGAGTGAGTGACTGGTATGCTGCGACAAAAGTGTGCGTGGGCGATCCGAACCTTTATATTGGCTTTCATCTCGTCGGCTTTGCCTGATTCGGCATCTCCGTGTTCATTCCTGCGGGGACTCCGCCGTTATGTTAGTTAAGCGGACTGTTCACGTAGGTAATTCTGGACGGTAGGTTAACGATCTCCCTTCCTCTTCGCTTGCAGAGTTTCCTCGTGTGACGGGTTCCTTTTTTTTTTTTTTGGCTCTCAATGGGATGCTACTGGCTCTGCATCATATGAAGTACCGTGAGCCGCCCAACACACCACATCAAACCTCATTGCGCACGAACGCGAGCTACTTCGAGCCCACATCGGACTCTGTACGTTGTCAAAATTTATATGCGATCCTGCCCTTTTAACTCATTCAAGTTGTATGCGTGCGCTGCCTCGAGTGCATGCAGCGGGCACTACGATCTGTGCCCCATCATCTCTCTGCTAGATACGAAACCAGAGGTCTTCTCGCAATGCATCCGGGCTCAGTTGATGCAACTCGACCATGTTGTGCCATTTACTTTACTTCACTGCATTCTAATCAATATGGCCAAGACTTGTCCACTCTATCGCAACCACTACACGGACGAGAGCCGAGCCGGTGAGCACCCGCCTCGGCCGGCCTGAGAGGCGGCATCTCGAAGTCGGCTCTCCGATCGCAAGACTGCTGGCACCACAGCCTAGAATCATGCCATGCCGCCTGTATGCTCTACGTCACAGCCGTGTTGTCAACTCTTGGAAAGTCTTGGATATAGAGTGACCGACCCCACGCATCATCCGCCCTGATGTCCGGGGCCGCCCAACGTGACACGCCGGCCCCACCACCCCGGTGTCTGCCTCCGCGCTCAAACCGGCACTGATTTCCAATTATCTTCCGATCGCCTTCCTTGCAGCGTCCTGTTAGAGCTGGCCCCCTGTCTGACACGGCTCATTGAGGGGATCTCAGTGGGAGAGTCGGGAGAAAAGCCGGGAGCAAGACAGTCTCACATTTAGGAGCGCTGGTGAAGAAATGCCTATATAATCTATATAATACTCTGTCTGCGATGAGCGGATCGTGACTGTCTTGATCTCCTGGCTCTCATCAGATCAGGACATCCGCTACGAAGCATAGGCTGAACCTTGTACTTTTGGTTCAACAGACTCTGTAACATTCCCAGTACTCCAAAAAGCCATGCGTTCTACTCTGGGTATGTTCACCTTGGCCAGTATGGCTCATGGGCACGCTACATTTCAGCAGTTCTGGATCGACGGCGTTGATCAGGGCAGCATCTGCGCTCGCCTTCCTCCCGGCAATAGTCCGATCGAAGACGTCACTTCGAACAACCTCCGCTGCAATATCGGAGGTGCCAGCGGCGTGGCGGGCATTTGTGAAGTTCCTGGTATGTCAATCTGCCCTTGCCATCCTTCGGCTCAGGCTGACACCCGCACACCAGCGGGCTCCATGATTGAGGTCGAGATGCACGAGCAGCCGGGTGACCGTGATTGCGAGAAGCCTGCCATCGGAGGAAACCACCATGGCCCTGTCATGGTCTACCTCGCGGCCGTCCACGACGCCACGACTGCCGACGGCTCAGACCCATTCTTCAAGATTGGAGAGTATGGATACACACCTGAGGACCAGGTCTGGGGAACTGACTATCTGAACAACAATTGCGGTCGCTTCGGCGTGCTGTAAGATTTCCGCCTACGTTGATATCGAAATTCAGAGAGGGCTGACAATGGCAGGATACCGGAGAACCTGCCCTCTGGCGATTACTTGGTTCGCGCAGAGGCTGTTGCGCTCCATAGTGCAGGTCAGCTCGGCGCGGCGCAGTTCTACATGACCTGCTACCAGATCAAGGTGACGAACGGGGGCACTGCTTCGATCCCGTCAGGCGTATCTTTCCCCGGGGAATACAAGGCTGTGAGTATCATAATTCGTGGGCATCGTGTCATACAGGGGCTGACGCTATGCGCTGCAGGACCATCCTGGGATTCACATCAACATCTGGGTGGATGACATTGATGCCTATGTCATCCCCGGGCCTCCCATTGCCGAGGTTTAAGGTCCATCGGTGACGGAATCCAGTCTGTATCGCCTTTGGTCATTTGAAGAAAGTGCTGTGTACTGGCGTTGATTATCGGCTTCATGTCTCACAAAGTGTAAAATCTGAGCAGGCCCCGGTCAGCCGGATCGCACTCGTTCATGCGCGTCATCTTCGTCATCCTCGTAAGGCCACCACAGGTCATTGCACCGCCAGGCTGCCTCCAGCCCTGTGGAATCATTTTGACTGGGCGAGTTCAGGGATGTTTTGGCTGGTGATCGTGTCGAAAGAGGCGCAGTGCAGCCTCTTAACCTATGAGCATTGAGCCTTGGCAGGACAAGGTGCTGCCCCTCTGCGTGCTGCACAGCAGTAGCTCGTCTCACTGCGTGAACATGGACTTCTCATAGGCCCTCTGTACTGACCATGCAAGCCGTGGAGGCGCGGCAGACCGGCACCCATCTCAGCGAAAGGCGTTCGACAAGGCAGACCTTCGGTGTCAACCATGAATACTGGCGGCCGCCCCATCTCGCAAGGTGCGATCTGTCGATTTGCTGTGATGATGGTCTGCTGCTGGTGGTCATCTCAACGTAGGACTCTGACTTCAATCGAACCAAGCACCAATATTGTGGTCGTAGGACTGTTGACAATTCGACTGATCCGCCGCCATGGACCCCCTCTCGATTGCTGCCTCGACGGTGCCCTTGCTGGAGGCTGCTGGCTTTGTAAGTCCACATCTTCAGATGCTCGGCTGAGTCGATTGAGATGTCGGCGCAAGGGGTATGAGACACTATGAGCGCCCGGCGCTAAAGGGTTGACAAAACAGATCACCAAGTCCCTCTACAAGCTCGCCAAGTCCTACCGAACGGTGGAAGTCCGTATCGTAGGACTCTGCGAGGAGCTCACCAATCTAACAAACTTTCTGAATACTGTGGACAAGACCTTGAGGAGATATGGTACCCTGGACTTTGCCCTCGTGGAGAAGGAGCTGTGGCGGGAGATTGACCAGTCGTTGGTCAACTGCGAGCTGTCGCTGAACGACCTGAAGAAACTGGTCGAGAGGATCAAGAGGCACGCTCACACGAAGGGCTTTGCCTGGAAGACTCGAACGGTAGCGGACCTGGCCGTCTACGACGGCGAGCTGGCTGCGTTCAGAGACAAGATCCACAAGTCCAACTGGGCTCTGCAGACCATCCTCAGCACAATCAACGTGTTCGTTTGACCCCATTCGCGCCTATACACCAGGCATCTGTCTGTACGCCTTGCTGACAAGAGGTCGCCTCTAGGTCGCTGTCTCTGCGAAGCAACACGTCGCAAGCCAAGATCCTGACCGAGCTGAGTACGCTCAAGCTGTCTATTGAAGAAGCGCTCCGAGTGTCTCGTCTGCCGGTCGGCGGATTCTCACCGCACTTTACCTCTCTACCTGATGCCCGTCTGGCTGACAATCTGTGGCACTTGGCCGAGGCGGCGAAGCAGTTTCACTCCGCCGCTTCTTCGACTGCTAGTACCGTCAGGGCAGATGACAGCAATGCTTCCGTCCGCCAGCTCTCCAGGACTGGTTCCAGCCTCGCCGGCGACTTCCCGTCCATCAGACGCCAGTGGGTTGAGCAGTGCCTCTGGCAGAGACGTTGCCAGTCTCCTGAATTCGCCACGCCTGTTCTAGCCAAAGCAAGGACGAACCCAGAAGAAATAAGCGATCAGAAGAAATGGACCTCAGACTCGCCGACCCTGGCGTCAGACTCGGCGCCACAAGTCGTTGAGCAACGTCGCTCAGACAAAGAAACGGAAGACGAAGAGGAAGAGGGGGAGGAGGACGACGGCGAGGACTGTTCAGATTTTGACCAGTACTACATCTCTGGCCTCTACGAGCTCGCCAACGAAAGCATCAAGGCTCTCGACTTTGCCAACGCAGCGCGCCTCCTGAGCCGCTTCCTCTCCAAGGCCACCGCCTCGACCGAGGCCGGCGTCGCGCACAAGCCCACCCGCACGACCAAGATCCAGCTCGCCATCTGCCACTTCCTCGAAGGGTCCTGGCAAAAGGCCGCGCCGCTGGTGACGGAGCTCGCCCGCTCCAAGGCCGGCCGGAACATGGTCGTGTGCAACCTCCTGCACGCCCTGGCCATCGCGCACCTCGCCCAGGGCGAGACGGACGAGGCGCTCGCCACCTGCCAGCAGGCCTTCCTCGGCAAGAAGCGGCTGCGGAAGAAGCAGGACAGCGGCGAGTACTCGGCCGAGTACTACGCCTCGCTCGGCCTCCTTCATGTCGTCTTTGACGCCTCCGACGACCCGATCCGAGCGGAGATCTTCAAGCGCCAGCTCCCCGCCGACTTTGACTATCACCATTTCCCCGACCCGCGGCTCTTCATCGCTCAGCACCAGACCCTCCTCAGGGCGCTGTTCCTGCTGCCACCGGGCGAGACCGCCACGCCGCTCGTCTTCGAGGGCAGCCCTGAGCCCGGCAAGCGCGTCAGGGGTTCGAGGCGGGACGGAAGCTCGCAGCATGTCTCGACCATCGAGACGGAAGCTACGACCCCCTTTCGCGGCGACGCGGACGACGAGCTGTCGCCGATATCACCCCAGGCCGTCAAGAGGGGCATCAACCGCATCTTCGGACGCATGATCCGGCGCACGTCGAGAGAGGCGCTCGACAGCCCCGGCAGTCCGAAGCCGGACTCGTTCCACTCAAACGGTCTCACACGCCACCGGGCCAAGCCAGCAAACACGTGGACCAACACCAAAAAGCTCCGGACGGTCCTCAAGAAGAGACAGGTCGTCAACCCGCCGCAGTGGCGCCGACAGGACAGCACGGAGGACGAGTCGAGCGGCGGCGAGTCCACACCGCTGCAGGACGACGGAGCATTCACGACCACGGGGCGATTCTTCTTCGCGGGAGACGAACAGCGCGGCACCCCTGTCTTCCCCGCCGAGCTCGCGGCTACGAGTGGACCGCCCGAACTGGAAGATATGGTCACCGCGGTTCAGCTTCAGCCTACCCCAACGTCGGGCTCGGCCCCCATGCAACGCAGCCTGGAGCAGGTGGCATCCGCCTTTGCGTCCATCGCGGCAGCCAAGGACCCAGACCACCGACACGCCATCCGGCTCGAGCTCGAGATTCTCTCGCGCGACCTCGCAGCAACGAGCAACGACCTCCAGCTCCTGCGCGACATTGACAATGCCATAAAGTCCATCTCGAGCAAAGAAGCCACAAAGGACGCAGACATCGAAGACTCGGGCTACGAATCGGCAGTGAACTCCTACCCCGCGAGAACTAGCAGCGCCAGAGGTGGGCGACATT